CGCAGCCCGCGCCCGGCGCGAGAGATGCGGCGCCGCTCTGCGCTTGCGGGCTTTGGAGAGGGGAGCTGATTAAGATGCTGGTCAGTTCTTCTCCCTGGCCTCTCCCTTTATATGCACTGTTACTGTTGGATACCCCTGCAGAGATTTTAAAAACTGCAGAAAATACAGGCCAGAAGGCACCAAAAAGAAGAAAGGGTGGGGGAAGGGGAAGGAGAGGAAAGATGCCAAGAACAGCAAAAAAGGCAGAGGAGCAAAATACAGTGGGGAATTGGTGATCAGATGGAAAAGAGCAATAAAGGAGGGGAAATCTGTCTTTGTGGCCCCCGTTTGAAAAACTTTTAAGTCCATAACTACTCAGGCGGGAGGGGGTGAATGTGTGGATGAGCGCTGACATGCGAGTGTGTGGCACCTTCCGCAGGAGCGCTGTGATCGGTCTTGGCGTTTAGATGCAGAAATGAGGAGCTGGAGAAGACTTGTGTCTTTGGTTGGGAGCTTGTACCATTTCTGGGCTTGGAGCATTTGTGGTAGGTAATTAATATGCTTCCGGGTGAGTATTTGTCAAGTTGGTCGCTGACGGTTATTGATTTCAACAGCAAAAAATAGGTTTTGCCATATTGTTGAGAGCAGCCGACCTCTGAGCGCTTGGTCATGGCAGCAGGGTTGTGAGCTTAAAAAAGAGCGACGAGTTGCATCAAGGAGGTTGCATAAAGGATGCTCTTTTTCACTATTTTCAAGAGGTGTTAGGGGTGACATAAGCATTATTCCAGAAGAGGAACATCTGCTGCTCATTCTGAGGACAGTGTCAAGATGTTCTCCAGTTCAAAAGCTTAACTTTCAGCTGTATTTATTTTGGGAGGTTGAAAGGATTTTTTCTTAAGGGCTTTTTTATATTGCTATGTAGTTCAATAAGCATGAGCTTACCTTTAAAGAAAGATCTTCAAAATGAGAATAGCATTGTTTATTGCTGGTGTATTTTTGTACTACCTGCTTTAGAAAGCTTATATATTGCAGAGGCCATATTTATGGCCTCAAGTTGCGCCAGGGGAGGTTTAGATTGGATATTAGGAAAAATTTCTTCACTGAGAGAGTGGTCAGGCATTGGAACAGGCTGCCCAGGGAGGTGGTGGAGTCGCCATCTCTGGAAGTGTTCAAAAAATGTGTGGATGTGGCACTTTGGGACATGGTGGCGCTGGATTAATGGTTGGACTTGATGATCTTGAAGGTCCTTTCCAACCTAGTGATTCTGTGATTCAGAGGGGATTTCTGGAAAGAATGGAGTGATTATCTGTTTTTCTGATGAATTAGTGTTTAAGTTAACAAATTTCCATGTCTGTTAGACTAGTAGCATAACCATTAACTGGATATAAAATGCATGGATGTGGTTTGGTTAGATCCTCTGTGGACTGCGAGGTGAAACAATAGCATTTGCTTCAGTGTGGAGGTGCTGCCAGAAAAGCAGCAGGGTTGTTGGTGGTTTTTTTTTTTCCAAATTGAAATTTAATTTGTAAAAAAATGTGTTCATTACCTAAGAAAAGTTCTGTGAGAGATGACTAACTGTAGGAAAAACTTTTCTTGTAATTTATTCCCATATATCATTAAGCACACAAATTTGAAATTCTGTTCCTGCGACGGGATAATTGTTCTGTGACTGCCGTACGAAGGCGACTGATGCAGGAAGGCTGTCGGATGTCAGTCAGCTGCTGCAGGACAGGTGTAACACCCGGAGCCTGAATCTCGGTGTGAGGAAATAGAGATGCAGGCACTTAATAAAGATAGGTTGGTGCTTCTGTGCTGGGCTAAGGGAGAATCTTCTGCCTACAGTGATGTGGGCGAGCCCCGTGCAGTGACAGCAAACCATTTGGGGCTGATCCCAGCTCTTGTTCTCCTTTGCTCTGTGAAAAGGTCCTATTTTCAGCAGGTAGGAGCAAGGCAAAAGCTGATGAGCTTGTAGATCCCTGCTTTTGGACAGGCTTACCTTGCAGAGCCGTGCTCTCGCGCCTGCAATAGTAGGGTACGTAGCAGATGTGGAATTTCTTTGATTTGTTTGATCAGGTCTTTTCACTCTTTGCCCTTCATTTGCACCTTTATGGGCTTTGCCTCTGTACCTCTAGTGCTAAGTGAGGAGCCTGCCAGTGGGTGCAGTGCCAGGGCTCTGTGTCCTGGTGCTGCCGGGCAGCCCGGCGCCGGCCAGCGATGCCTCCTGCCATCCCTCATCATCAGGAACGAATGTTTCTGGGAAGAAGGGGCCTCGCTCTGCATGGTGCTAGCAGGCTGGAAACTTGGCTTCGGCTGGAGAGGACCCCTTAGCCTCGCCTTGGCAGAAGGAAATAATAAAGTGACAGACTTCATTTATCTTTATGCCATACGCATGGCCTCGTGCGCTCCGTACGCCGTCAGACCTAAATCTTGGTGTCGAATTGGCGCTATGAAGGAGGAGGCTGTAATTTCCAAAGTCGCTACAGGTACAATAAAATAAAAAACGTTTTCCCTTAAAAACGAGCGTACACGTCATGCGTTTTGTGACCCTATCTCGTTAGCAAGTGCAATTAATTTTGTTCTGTCTTTACTTTCTGGTTTTGTGGAGTACTGTTGTTGTGACAGCACACGAGGATATTGCCAAAGGTGACCGGGGGGTACCCGAGCCCTTGGCAGCCGCGGGGTGTGTGCTGTGGGGTGGGAGCACGGTGGGGCCGGCTGGAATTGCACAAAGAGGTGCTTTATCCGGAGCAATGAGATTAGCAACAGCTTAAAACTGCCAGGATAACCTCCCAGCCTGCTCTGGAGGATCCTAGCCCCGTATTAATAAAACTCGCAGCGCAGCCTGCCCGCACGGACCCGCGGAATCTGCGCGCACCTTGGCGTGCGGCGGGTTCATTTGCACACCCATCGATCCTCCCACACCGTGCTTCATGCCGCGCTGCTGCTACTGCAGCGTTTTCACATCCATTTCTCTTCCCTACCTGATCGCTACAGCACTTCGTCTGCCCGCCGCTGCCGCCGCTTCCCTCCCGGTTGCCCACGCTTAATGACCGTTCTCTTCACGCCCCTCGGTAAATCAGTTATCTTCCCCTCCAGATGGGTTCTTCTCCCCTCTGATCAGCTAATCAATTATATCCCGGCGCGGTTGTGCAATGCTTTTTTGACGCTAAGCTACCGCCTTCCCTTCGCACTCCTTGCAGCTCCCGCAGTGGCACCGGCACCGCTCTTCAGATTTAGCTGCAAGAGTGTTTCTGACCTGTCGGGTTCCTCTGGCATTCTGCGGGAGCTTTCTGTGGCTCCCGTTGGTTTTAATCCCTCCCTGGAGAGCAACAATCAGTCCCACTATTTCTGATGCCCCGGGCTCAGGTCGTTTGATTTGTTGCTTAAGGATTTTTTTTAACGAAAAAGCCTCTCCCGACTATTTTTGGATTTTGTCGTGCTCCAGGCCCAAAGTATTTCTTAAATGCTGGGGGTGCTTAGCATCTGGTGTTGTGCTGAATAGGTGGAAAGGTTCTTTGTTTAAACTTTTTCGGTTCTTTGACTTCCACGAAACGGTGCGACGGAGGGTGTACTTGCTGCATGGGACCAGAGCACCGAGTGCCTCCTATTATATCTGCTCCGGAGGATTTCCTGGGAAGTGTTCAGCCTCCATTTCTGTCTGCAAGGAAATCCTCTTATCTGGGCAGAGCAATAAATAGTGCTGCCTCCTGTAATAGAAACAGAAAAACACATTCTTCACATGGCTGTTTTTAAAAATGTGGGGTTTAAAATGTATCGGCTGGAACGATTCTTCTGTAATAAATCCCCATAATAGCGTGCAATGTATACATTTAACTAGCTGCACAGAGGTAGGGAGAGGGGGAGACAGTGTGTTAAAAGAGGGTTTAGCGTGCATTTAGTAATGGCAAGAACAGTAAATAATCCTACAGGTTTACAGACCTAATCCCTAGTGTCAGATTGTAGTCCTCGCGTCTACTAGCGTCGGTTGGAAAGATGTTAAAAGGCTGTAAAGAAAGGGCTTTGGGGGGGTTTCTTTTTAAATATTGGGGGAGCTGGCTGGGTGACTGATGGTTTTAAGTGGCATGAATGGAGTTGATTCAGTACCTCGATGGAAAGCTCTAGAAGGGCCCGTTGCCCTCCGCTCGCCATGGCGACGGTAGGTGAGGATGGCGTAGGCCGCTTCCCGCTGCCTCGCTCTGTGCTCTTCCCAGCGGTGCTTTCATTTGTGAACTGGATTTGGGGGGTGGTTGATTTTAACGCCCAACTTATTTTCTGCCTGTGCCCTGCAGTAAAGTGGTTGTTTTTCTTAAAACAAGAAATCGGCGATGTCTAAGAGCCGTGCCACGTGACACTGCTGCTTTTAAATAAGCTTTTAAGAGGTTGGACCAGATGTTGGCCACATCTGTGTTTTTATTTCATCGAACATTTCATTTCGACCCTTTTATTAAAAGAGAAAATGATAATTTAGAAATTGTTTTGAAAAGTTTAGCAGCTGGGAAGATCTTTCTGGTATATAAAAAAGCGAGGGTTTTATTTTCCATGCCCTGGAGTGAGCCATATAACATCGAGCAGACGGATATTTACGGCTGGTAGGATCTACTCCTGTTGGAAACAATTGCCGTGGAAACTTTCAGATCAAAACGGATGTATTCTGTTTTGAATTGGCATTCCGTAACAAAACACTTCTTTTCTCGGTGAAAGCATTAAACTAGGGATTTGAAGGCACCGTCTCTTCTGAAAAGCCCCTTGCATTTAATGAATGCCTATCGCCTTGGCAGGAAAAAGGACGACTTGCAGGCAGAGGGATATCCTGCAATTACTCCCTCTACTGCCATTATGGGGTCTAAGAAATGCTTATTACATATAACTTGCTTCTGGATTCTTCTCTGCAATTTACCAGTTGGAGAATGAGTTTTCCGTCCCTGTTGCTAATTGATCCAATGAGAAAAACTGGCACCTAATTCAGTTACAAGTTATATTTAAAATGACATGTGAAATTGTTCATGGTGCCTGAAATTACATCATTTTCAGTCTGGCCTATTAGGGCTGTATGAGGGAACAGACACCTACTGTACTGTGACACATTAAATTTTAAACTCTGATCCAAAAATATAGCAGGGTATAGGAGGAGCGAGATGTTTAATGCTGAATAAAAGCAGTGGCAGCTTGATTTTGGTGGCATATTTTTATTGTTCTTAAGATGCTGTGGCAGTTTTTACAACAAATACTTTTGGGATGCAGTTTTATGTCACGTTGAGCAGTGACTTGAGTAGTTCTGTCACCACTTACGAATTTCGATTTTCTAGGCTGCAATTTTCAGAACTTAGTAGTGACTTTTGAGGTTGTCTCCCTTTTTCTTTGTCCCCAATTCCAAGCCTGTGTAGATAGTTCACGTTTTAGTTTATCTGATGCAATGAATATGGAGAGAAAAAAAAAGAATACTTTATTTCTTTATTCTTTCAGATAAATCAAATTGAAAGTTGTGTTTTCCCTCAAAACCCTGAGGAAACAAAAGGTAGATACCACAAAGAAGGGGGAGGCCATCCCCTCTTCTGTCATACTACTTGGTGGTTAAAGCGCTTACCCAGAATATGGGACACCCATTTCGACTCCCATTTCTGCACAAACTCCTTGCGACCGAGGAGACAAGTTGTTCTGGCCTGGGCACACTCTTGCACTCTGCTGTCGAGCTGTTTTATTTTGTGTAATAAACATTTCTGGTGAACAGTCTCCTGGGAAGGTGTCTCAGACCCTAGACTGCAGTATTTACTCCTTTCCTCGGTGCGTATTTAAGCATTTTTCTCGCTGGAAATTTCTATCTCGGTTCCAGCAGGAGAGACGGGTCGTGCTGTTTTGCAGTGTACCCTGGACTCCGTGGGCGATGCGGCGTATAGCGATTCCTCTCTGCGCTTTGCGTGATTGCGGTTTGCTAAAAAAAATTCCAGTGAGTTATATACATTAAAGAGGCAGCAAACCGCCGGGATGTATTTTGTCACCTTGCTTTTCCTCTCCAGCCTCGCGCCAGGGCGTGCTTTGCCATGTCCTTGGGTCGCGTCCCTGCCTGCCCGGTAGCATGAGGAGCTGGTGGCCCTGGTGCCGAAACGTCTCCTCTTGCTGCGCTATATAGAGGTCGGACCAGAAGAAAAGCATATGTACTGAACAATTATATAGCAGTTATAAAATCTTTTACGCTTTTAAAATATTTTTGGGGAAAAAGGTTTTAAAGTAAAGCTAGTGCCTGGGACTAAAATACAGTTAATTTCTAAATATAACAGCAATGAGAAGTGTTCCTTAAGGCCTTTCCAGTGATATTAACATCAGATTATCTGAAGTGGTAAAGTTGATACTACGTTTATGAGACAGTCTCAGAAGAAAATCAAAATGCAGTTATGCGGTTCCTTGCGAGAGGACAGTTTCTTTGGGGTGAAACCTGTTTCACGTATGACTTGGTGTGGAAAGAGTTTAAAAACTTTCTGTTGGTTGTTTAAGCAGGATTTTGAAAAGACATTTGTAAGCTCTTGGTGTCTGATACCAGTAACTGTTGAGTTGAGAAGCCAGATCTTTCGCACCACCTCAGGAAGCGCAGCCTTTTTTCTTAACTGGTTGGTTTTGGTTGGATTCCTGACCCCGTGATTTCACATACTTCAGGCAACTGGTTTAAACACCTGAGTTTTGCCAAGCCAAGCATCGTTCGTATCTTCTGCTCATAGTTCCTACCTTTGCATGTCTTCACCATTTGGTGCTCCTCAAGCCTCGAGGCTCCGCGTTGCCATAACCTGCTGTTGGATCAAAGAGCTGCAGCTACTTCCCCCTCCGCCGGTCCAGCACCGTGCTGCTCGGGAGCTCTGCTCCGCGAAAAAGCACCTGACGGGGGAATCGAACCATTTCTTGGTCTTGGTCTTGGTTTGTGGAGAGGCACATCCCCAGGACTGGGGAGCAGGAACCATGAAGATGCCAAGCTGTTCTACACAATTTCAGTTTTAATTTGTTGTTGCAGATTGTTGAACTTAATTTGTTCACTTTTTCTGCAAGTAAACTGGTTAGGTCATCTCTTGTCTAGTGTTGATTAGATGTAATGGAGATGGCCAAGAAGATTGCTTCATTCCCCAGCATGTCTTTGTTGAATAATTTATTTTCTCCTCTACCTGGACTACGTTAATATTGTATTACTAATGTACATTAATGTGATGTGGAAAATCAGGTTTTGCTAGTGTACATTGTGCCAGTGCCAAATTAGGCCTCAGTTCTGTGCTGTCATGCTTTTTGAATGGGTAGAATATAAAAAAAAGTGTTTTCAGAAGAAGTCTTAATAAATACAAAGCTAGAAAAATTACAGTGAAATTACAATTACAGAAACTCATTACAGTTTAACATCTATCTAGACCCTTCCATAGCTATTAAAAGTTATTTTAAAATTTGGAAATGTTTTAATAATTCCCATTTTACAGAGGGAAAAACTAATACACATCTTTTTACAAAACTGGTATGAGGTAAGTGGTTCAAATGATGATAGATCAGAATCAAGGAGAAAGCCATGGTATGACTGTCAGCATGACGTGTTATTCACCGGTCCATGCTGCTTCCCGTACATAGAAAATATTTTCTGTCATAATTTACAGACAAATCATCGACCTATATGCTGTGACAGAGAAATTCGTATTATGATGAAAGAAAAATGGTCATCTTCCTATCTGCTGAACATTTGTGGCTGTAAATTAAAATGGAAAAAAAAAAAGGTAGCTGGAAGTGTCCGGCAAATTTTTAGTACTGAAGAGGATTGTACCAATTCCTGAGTTTTAAATTAATTCAGTGTGGTGAATTTGTGCATGCATATACCCCCATATTGAAAATATTCAGCAACACATTAAACCTCCTGAATGAATGCAGAAGGATGCAAATCTCTGAAGGGCGGTCGTTTAGTGTTACGTTACCGTAGAACTTGAATTGCGATTGATTTTGAACAAACAGCTGCTTAATTCAAATGTGTTCTTTCCTGTAGGTGAGAATACAGGCGATGGTGAATTAGACCTGAGTGGGATCGATGACAGTGAAATAGATCGGGTAAGGTGCCCTCTTATCCTGGATGTCTCTGCATCTGGATGTCCGAGAAAGACAAAATGGGTCTTACCTGGTTTATCCTCTCCCATCATTGCCTCTTCGCTCTGATCTATAGAGAGGTTCGAGTGATTTCACTGATCTGAGATCAAAATGAATGTGAATTTGGTGTTCCTTGCCACAGTTAAACATATATGTATATGAGACTGCTGCTGCTTGCTCTTAGCGTGCTGGAATAATTATGTTTTAGAATGTCTTTTATTCTAAAGAAGGGCTTTTAAAAATTTGGTGGACCTCTAAATTCATAATTGAATTAAGATATATTCAACATAGGAGGCTGCCATGGAAACCAAACTGTAAAGCTGACATGTACAGCTTCTGTGTTCTTTCAGAGATTTCTGTAACATTTTCTGGCTTTATTATTATTTGTGTGGCAGCGAAAGATACCCTTTACCATATAGCCTGAATATGACAGCCAGCCAGCCATGGAAAAGGGCTTGTTGAAGGCCACACAGCAGGTCAACGCTTGAACACGCGACAGAGTCCAGCTCTCCTGGCTCTGAGCCTGGTGCCCTCTCCAGCCGCCACGCTGGTTTGAAGTGTAATTTGAACAGATAACGACAATGCTAAAAACTCCTTTTGGGATACGAAATCATTGGCAGCGGTGAGATTGTGTAGGGGTTACTGATCTGCAGAACGTTGTTGGCAATGGATGAAGGAGCAGGAAAATGCTCAGCTTGACTTCAGCCGGGAAGTGGGTTTTGCTAGGCTACGCATTAGGAAGTGTCTTGTGAATTGAGCGGACGTGGTATGGAGGGAGCTGGGAGGCTGAAGGTTTTCAATATAGCTGGTCCATAATTTAAACAATCGCAGGGGAAGAACAAGCACATTTTCTCCTCCTCCTAGGCTTTGTGATGAGGTCATAACTTTGCTTTTATGACCTCATGTTCATTTCCACGGTAATAGACTGTAATATTGTAAGCCCAAGATTATGAACTCTAAAAGCGTAAGAAAGATGAATAACTGAGCTAGGAGGAAACGAGTTTTACTATTATGGCAGATGAAAGAGTGAAAATATTGGTCTGATAAACCAGGACTTGCACAGCTGTTCGCTTGCCTTGTTTGCCCTCGAAGGAAGGACTTCTCCCTGCATTAGTTTCATTTGACTGGAGTTGTTTTTCTCGTAAAATCCTATATGTGCGTTTTACTTCAGAGAAAATCTCAAATGCTCAAACCCATAAGATGGAGAAATCTCAAATTGTTTTTCTTGCGCTTAAACATCATTTTACAAGTCTTGGGTCCACTGCTTAAAAATGAAGTGTCTCGTTCATGAAGGATGGCCCAATTTGTCTTCTCCGTTCTGCAGAAGAGCTTCACTCCCGAACAGCATTGGCAGTAGAGAACTTCTGTTTCATGGACAGTTGTTCTAAATACCGGGTTTATTTTTACATTTAAGTAATTGAAGAGGAGATCTGTCTACCAACCTGCCAGCCTGCCTGCTACCTACCTGTCTATTTATTTGTGTAATTCATCTGAATAGTTCTAGATGTGTTTTACAGCTCCACAGCTACTAATGATGTTACTGAGACCAAGTGGAGTTATCTGAAGAAAGCCTAGATGTGGTCACTGAACCCAGCTCTCTCAAATCTAGGTTAACAGTTGGACTTGACGGTCTTAAAGATCTTTTCCAACCCGAACGATTCTATGATTCAATGATTCTATGACTAAAACTCCAGCAATCTAAGCCGGTTTCATTCATCCAGATGTGGCCATTGAACTAATAATTTTAGTAACTATGCCTAAACCTTCGCAGAAAGCTGCCCAGGAGACACATGTTTCTGTTTTGGTAGCACAGGGCAATGGTTCCCATACTGTTTTGAATTACAGACCACCATCAAAACACAGAATTACTTGCAGACGAGCATGTTGTCATGATACCCTCTCATATCATCTGAGAAAGATCATAAACCCAGGATCATTTTAGGCTAATTACAGACCACGTACAATGAGTCCTGGATGGGTTTTGGTCACCACATCACAATTTGGAAACCAAGAACTGTTTTTTGAAAACATGTCGGTTTTTGCCAGCTTTAGAAATTACTAGAAATGCTCTCTGACTGTCGCATCTCAGTCATGATTTCTTTTATTAATGGATTTTTAAAAACAGAATGCAAATTGACCTTGCCAGTGGTTTTTCATTTCAGTTTTGCTCTATGGTTTTCAAGTTGATTTCTGAAAGTAGATAAACTTGTTTTGTCTTTTAGTATATACTTAATGAAACAGAAGCTCAGATAAAAGCAGAGCTGTGGATGAAAGAAAATGCAGATTATTTGAAGGAACAAAAAGGTAAGTATATAGGACTGACATTCTCCTTTTGGCCGGTGTTGCTGAAATGTGCAGTCTGTGTAATCTTCATGCTGGTTACCCTTTTGTCATCTTTCAGAAAAGGAAGCAAGAATAGCAAAAGAGAAAGAACTTGGGATTTATAAGGAACACAAGGTATTAAACTGTGTGCTAATTGTGTCTGTTTGAAAATGTCCTGGAAATTCATTACATTTGCTGATCAACTCCATGTAGGATGTATGGGCATAATGGTACAGGTCACCACTAAACAAGCAAAAGCTATTGTGTCTCTACCTGTTATTGAATTACAAGGCTATAATTTTTCAGGTGGTGAGTAAAACACTTTCTTGCCCAAACTTTTATTTTAAAGTACTATTACGAGAAAATTCTGTGCATGGCAAAGTCAGAGCTAGCTCTTTGCATTTATGATTGCTGTTCTAATTGCTTGCTTATTTAAATACAGGTCTTAAGACATGCCTTTTTTTTTTTTTTAACATGTGCATGGGGAATTTGTTTGTACTTGCCGTAACTTCAGTAGCTTTCTTTGCTCTTACAATAATGATTTCTTTATGAAGAACTGAACAGATCCTTGTTACAGTCACTTGAAGGAATATTTTGTTCGACCTTTCATAAAGAATGCGACAGTTATGTTTACAAATGGCATGTCCTGTCTCCATGTTTAGCAGCTTATAGCCGCCTAATTGGCCGTATATTCACAATTTATGGCATTAGTATTTTGTGTAACTGAGCAAGTGACAAGTCAAATCTTCCACATGCAACTAAAATCCATGTTAGTTTTTAGTGCATATATCCTCTGTCTTTTTTCTGACTAATGCAAAAGACAGAGTTTCCTACTTCCCCTAGGTATTTCGACAATAAAAACAAAACCAGACAATGAAACACTGTTTTATGCTTCAGAGTTTCTCATTCATCCTGCGCTTATGCAGACGTGGCAGTCTACCAGCAATTTTCAAAATTGTATAACTCATTGGCACCACCAAGTAGCCCAAACACCCGCTTTTTTGTTCGAACAACACAGGAGTTTTTCTCTGACTCTGTATTGTTTCTGACAGCTTGAGTAGAACTTGATTAATATAGTATTTTCCAATTTCAAGGTAGCACTTGACCCAGGTAGGTAAACAGAGAGGCTATTATCCATTAAAAAATAAATCTCCTGCAGAGTTTGGTGTTAAAACCTTCCTTTGAGAAGGAAAATGCCGAATGAGAAACAGAGGTTCTTTTTTTTCCTTTTTTTTTTTTTTCCCCTCCGTACCTACCCGGGCACGGCACGTGGCTAGAAACGCTCTCCGGTGTCATTTCGCTTCGCCTGGCGCTGCGCAGCATCAGCCTCCGCAGCGCCGCGCTGGGCTTGCTGTGTTTGCCTGGGAAGGGCAGTTGCAGCTGACGCTGACGCTGCACCCGTGCGTCTGCAGCCTCCTGCTTCCTATCCGCCGGCGTTAATGCCAGTCCACGCTTAGAAAGCTGCTGCCAATGTTCTTGGCCTTTTTCAGCGTGGAGGAGGAGCTGGGTAGATGCTCTCCCACGCCGCATTCAAACTTGATATAAAATACCGTCGCAGTTTTGATACGGAGCTGTCAGTGCTTAGGGGAGTTGTGACCCAGTTCGATTCTAAAGGCAATTTTAGCAGGGGAATTTCATTATTTACATGCTGGGTGATGCTATCGGGGTCCCTGTTCCTGTAACAGGAGTTTGCTCCATTTTTTTCATGCATGAGAAATGGCCCACATTTCTCCTCTGGCAAATAAGTAAAGAATTTGTAATAAACTGTGTGGGCATCTGGCAAAAAGCGAACACTTCTCTCTCGGAGAAGAGAGACCTCTCGGTCCGGTTGAGTGGCAGGAGAGGGAGCGCTGGCTTAGCCCGGCCGTGTCGCCTGCATCCCCGCATCAGCAGCACCTGAGCCAGGACTGCTGAACTGCAGCTCGCCCTTCTGCTTCACGGAAACTTTGTTTGTATCTACATCACTAATTTTATATTTTAATTAAGCCAAAGAAATCTGCAAAGAAGCGGGAGCCAATTCAAGCCAGCACAGCAGGAGAGGCAATTGAAAAGATGTTAGAACAGAAGAAAATCTCAAGTAAAATTAATTATAATGTGCTAAGGGACCTGAACAGCAAAGGAAGTAACACACCAAAGAAAGAGGATGACAGCACTGATGACAGCACCAACACCAAGAAGCTGTCGAGAAGAAAATCTATTGCCAGTAGGAATATAGCCAACCCTGTAAACAGTGTGGGAAAAAGGTACTGCAATTGTTCATTTATATCTCTGTCTGTGAGAGTGTCTGTGTATCTTTCTGAGCCAGACAATGTAGGGACTGAAACATTTGTTTGAGGCTAAAATAATGTCGGGGCTCTGTTTTTATTTATTTTGCCTGCAGTGTCACGGCGGCACCTTATTTATAGTTCACGTATCAGAGGTCTGCTTTGGTGCGAGTTAATCATCCTGAAGCCCAAAAAACTAAAATCAACGGAAATTCATAAAAGTGAATCTTTCAGCCGGGAACACCTTTTCTTTACATGCTCCTGACATTTGCTGTCCTTCCTTTCTACGTTGTCTGTATCAGCTGACACGACACTAAATGTTCGAAAGCTTTGGCTTTTTGCTTGATTGGAAAAATATACTTCCCATCTGTTTTGACAGCTAACTGTTTTGATTAGCTCTTACTTTAGTTTTATTCCAAACTTTTGTTGTTAATTGAGGACGCAAATATAAAGCTTTACAGTAAATACTCTTGTCGGTTTTCTGGTCTGCATTTGCAAATGTTTTATGGTGTGATGAAAGCTACTATTTTAATGAGTAAAATACTTGACTCGGCCGGGCAGATTTGTAGTGTGCTGTAAAGTGTATAAGGAGATTGATGTGTCCTATCTGCAATATTGAACTATTTTATTCGCCTTCGGTTTATGAAATCGTGTCCAATGATCATTTGAATCATGCCTATGTGTAGTAATTTCTTGCTTAGGCGTTATTTGTTTGTTTATTTACTGCCTAAAAGACGTGAGGTTTTTTGCTTCCAGAAGCATAGGCCAAACGCCACGAGGAAATTGTCAGTGTATAATTCTGTAATGTAAGATGATGTCTTCGAACTGCAGTTCAGGTTTAGGCATGTGTTGCAACTCGGTAAAGGACCAGGGAGGGTGGGAGGGCAGGCAGGCAGCCACAAGATGCGAGAAATCGTCTGTTTGTGCAAGAACGGGAGACGTAGGATACCTGAAAACGCGCAGCTGGGAGGGATGGTTCGTGCACACCCCTCCGAAGCTAAGCAAAATAAGGATGACTGGACCCAACCCCTTAGTTTTGCTTCATTTGACAGTGAGGCCAGAGGCGTGGTCTTCAGTTCTGGCTGAGAAGCCAAGTGCCAAAACTAAAGCTTCTCAGCCAAAATCAAACACCGTCTCTGGCCTCACTGTCACCGGGATACAGGTTTTTGCAACGTACCAAACATCTTTTCTTTCCCTGCTGTACCTTCTTTACTCTGTATTTTACCAAGATAGCTTCATCGTTGTTCAACTTCTCACCCTTAATATCAACAGCTTGGTTTGCCAGTTCTTTACTCGCTGTGGATTTTGGTCGCCTCTATAAGTTGCTGCTTAAGGTCATGTCTGATGACCCAAGCACGTAAGTTTTCCACTAGTGAAGGAAAGTGAAGATGCATTGAGGATTAACTAACAGCATTTAGCCTATGTTTTATTTGGATTTAGCAAGTATTAATGAGTCATATTTCTGGTATTTCTAGTAAAATATAGCTGAATTCAGTTGTCTGAAATGAAATGCTGCGATGGGAATTAGGGGCCGGTCGGGATCGCGGTTGCATTTCAGAGCTCAGCAGTAACATCTGTGCTCGAGCTGCTTCACCACGGCCAAACCTTGTCACTTCTGAGGTTTGCAGAAATGTTGGGCACTCAGAGCTCCTGTTGAAGTCAGCATGTTAAACTCTTAACAGGTGTTAAACTCTTTGGAAAATCATGCCATAAATATTTAATTTAACAGTGGTGCAACTTGAAAAGATTTCTAAATAAATACAAATCAGTATTTTCCAAAAGCAGCTAATAAAACTTGTTTATTTTTCCTCTTGAGAGCCTAAAGTACGTCCTTAAGATGCATAACAGAGTTTCCTGATGATGATTAGCAGATCTCGGATACAATGAATTTTGCAGCAGAACACTTCAGAGGAGGAGGTTGGGGATACATGCAGATGTGTGAGTTAAGAAGATTTTTGCACTCCCAAAGCAGGCAGTGTTCTTGCTTAAATAGTATCAAGGACTTGGCAAACCATTAGTTGGGCTTTTTTTCCTTACAATTAAAGATTTATGACATACTTTTGATTTTTTTGCTAGTAGTCTAAATGCCATGCCTTTTAAATGGCATGCATAAATTTCTATGTTCGGCATTGTTCTTATATGCCATGCATTCATTGCCTTTGTTCAGCATTGTTCCTCTGAGAGGTGAATGGCTAAATACTTTCCCAGTGATACAAAAATCATGGTAATTTATATGCAATTAATAATAATAAAAACCCTGAACATTGCTCATTAGAAAATGAATGAAGCGCATAATGTATCTTTATCCAGGAAGCATTTGCGGCGATCTTGCTAACTGTTTTGGTTTGTAGTGATTTACAGTCCTGCGTGTTTGTATGTCTTAAATATTTAGTAAGCTGCATTTGACTGCAGTAGCACCTTGCATAACCGTGATTTGATCCGGTCCTTTAGTTCATCTGACTTACAGTCAGATTTTAAAGAGCTACTAATTTAGTCCTGATCCCAATTAGAAGGTAGGAAACTAGGTTTTTTTATAAAGAAATATCTTTAATGCTTTCCTTTTGCAAGCCAAGATTTTACATACCTCATCAAGTTTGGACAGATGACGGAGACAAATTTGTCATGTGTCTGAGGAATCCTCTTCATATACAACATGTAACACCCTGCAAATAGGAAGTTGTTCGTCATCTCCATCTTTCTAATTGTCCCTTGCTGTGAAATACTCTGCGCTATCATTTCCAGGAAGAGGACTTCAGATTTTCTCTCAAAAAATGGTTGACCCAGCCAGACACGGTGCAATCTCTGGGTGGTTTTTCTTTTTTTTTTTTACATGACACAAGGTAGCATTTACAGTGTTAATCAGTTAAAATATTGGGGAAGCTTTTGTTTACTGATGTGATAATGATAAGCAGATTTTACAATCTTGTAAAAAGTTGTTGGTTTGCAAGAAATTTATAAAGAGCTGGAATGCAAAGCATGGTCCCCGAGGCATGCTTAAACTGGATATTCTTTCAGTTGATGGCCCTTTTAATATAGCTCTATTGCTATTACAATCACTCTTAATTTAATGGTGACTTGGATTACAAAGACAATGTGGTTTATCTGCCTATTTTTTAATAAAAAAATCCTAATTTTGAAATCTCAGAAATGTTTGGTATTTTCTGGAATTTTGTTAGGAAGGTACTTTCAAAGAATTCTTCCAAGGATCGTGCGGAGTTTGCATTTTTAGATGAGTAGATAATATATATATCTCAATATTTTCAGAAGCAAACTTGATTTTTGAATTGGTTTCTTTACCATGAATGCTGTGCAACATTTTGAGTTTTCGAAAAAGACACGCTTTTCTCAGACACGTTTCCCAGAATTATACTGGGGTTTTAACAAACAGACAGGTTTCTATCTGTCAAGACTGGTAAAGACAATGTAAGTAATTTTAGGAAATTTTATGTTGTATTTCATTACATTTCTTAATGCATTTTTGTTCCAGTGGGTATCACGATTGGTGCTTCATACACAAAAGCCGTTTCGTTCTCTGTGTGTGGCACGGTGGATGTTATCATAATAGATGTTGCAGCTTTAATTTCAATTACCAGTTGCATAGTTTATCTTCACTAATGTCTTCTGTGCATATGAAACATAAGAATAATATGTTGAACTCCTAGAAAAGAACAATTGGCACTTGGAGCTACTTCAAACCTGAACTCTAGCTAGAGCTGTGCCATGTGCTGGAGCTCTTCAAGGCCAATCAAGAGAGTTTTTAGGACTGGAAGCTTTAGGTTAGAAGCTTAATAATTTATTTTATATTTACTTGAGCTGAATCCTACAACATTGCTTGTGATGTGAAATGTGTTGTACCAAGAAAATGTGGGAACAAGAAAGCTTTCAAGTCAATACTTTTTAAAAATTTTAAGCCTATTTATTGCTATGTGCTTGAAATTGGTAATGATATCAGAAAAGACAGGATATATTATCAGGAGAATAAATGTGTCAGGTTAATCTCCTGAAGAATTTGCCTTGGAAGAAATGAAGCGGGACTGCGAAGCACAGCTGAATCCGTTGTAATGGAACAAGGTTGTTCTGAATGGAAGCATATGAATATGTAACAGAAAACCAAATCATGCCTGCTACGAATATGACAAAAGCCCTTGGTAGAGACCTCAGATTTGGTTAGGTTTGGAAATGCACCTCCATATTCTCTCCAGGGTCTCACTGGTATTTATACATCGATCATCCACCATCCATTTTGCTCGTACACGTTGGCACGCGGCTCCACCTGTGCTTCGGGGCCACGGGATCCGGGTGTTGCCAGCCATGCCTTTGCAGTACCAGGCACTTCCTCGGAGGCTCACGTTCCCACCCTGGGATGCACACTTTCAGTTAGCATCGGCTCCGGCTACACTTTTGGTGGCTTTTCAGTGGGTGCCGCGACGCCAGAAAAATCCCCTTTTTTTTAGGGAGAATGTATGTAATACTTTTCTGCAGCCTAGTGTTCGGCGTCTCATTTAACCTGATAAGTTTCTTGGTACGTTCTTGGCTCTAACTGGAATCACATTCCCCCGGAGGGTAAAATATGGGCAGACGCCTAATTTAGGTGCTTTGGAGGAGTCCGACAATCCCACAGGGCAGAGGGAGTGCGAGGAGACGGCGAGGCGGTGGGAGCTCCGACCCTCATTTACAGTTGGATCTTTCTGGTGTCCGGGATGGGAATATTGCTCCATAAGGTAGAAGTTTATTTCAATCTCATTGGCTTTGCTGGATTATTTTTGGCAACGTTGTGGGAGGAGGTGGCCTGGAGTGCTATTTATCACACCCAGCCTGAACATTTTCTCTTCACATGCACTTGTTGATCCTGCGGGCGTCCGGCAGAATCTGTATTTCGTTCTCCTGGGGAATAAGGAGGGAAGAAGCCCCCAACAACCTGTTTCCCTCACATCCAGGATCACTGATAACAAGAAGCCCTTTATTTGTAGTTTCACAGT